AAACCAACAGCTGGTTGTTTGAAAAGTTGAATAGAATTGATAAGCCACTTGCCAGCTAAGAAAAATACATCACAGATTACTAAATGAAAGAGGAGACATCATTACAGATCCTATGGACATTAAAAGGATAACAAAGGAATACTATAAACAACTGTATGCCAACAAATTTGATAACCTAGATGAAATGGACCAATTCCTTGAAAGACACAATCTGCCAAAACTCACACAGAAAGAAATAGACAATCTGAATAGGCCTATGTCTGTTACAGAAAGTGAATCAATGATTAATAATCTTTCAAAACAGAAAGCACCAGCCCCAAATGGATTCCCTGGTGGAATTCTAACAAACATTTAAGGAAGAAACTGTATCAATTCTCTACTATCTATTTCAGTGGATAGAGCAGAAGTAATACTTCCTAACTCATTTTATGAGGCTAGCATTACCTTCATATTAAACCAGACAAAGACATTACAAGAAAACTACAGACCAGTACCACCTCTGATGAACATAGATGCAAACATCCTCAACAAAATATTAGTACATTGAATCTACAATGTATAAGAATTATACACCATGACCAAGTGGAATTTATCCCAGGTGTACAAAGGAGGATAAATTCAACATTTGAAAATCAATTAAGATCCAGCAATCCCACTTCTGGGTGTTTACCCAAAAGATTTAATTAAAGGTTACCATGAGGCTTGCAATAGAGCAGGGGACTGAACTCCTATCAGGAGCTTTATCAGGAACCCACTCCTATAATAACTAGCACACTCTCAAGATAACAGCATTAATCCATTCTTGAAGTCAGAGCCCTCATGACCTAGTCACCTCTTAAAGATCCCACCTCTCAACACTGTTGCATTGGGGATTATGTTTTCAACACGTGAACCTTGAGGGACACATTAATCTTAATATGGTTACAATGTATGGAAATGAACCATTTTACAAAACATCTTATCTAATGTACTATTGTTCTTGGTCAGTCGAGGAATTATATCTATGGAACCAATGACCAAAAATACATGTTTAATCCTGAAAAATAAAATTTAAAAAATGTTAGTAATACCCCCATAATATGCTGAAATAAAAAAAAATGTTAGTAGCAGCATATTTATAATGTCCCTGGATTGAAAACAACTCAAATGTCTATGAGGAAAATAAATAAATTGTGATATATTCATACAATGGAAGACTGTGCAGCAAAGATAATGAATAAGGCTATTGTGACATGTATCAACATGGATGAATCTTATAAACATAATGTTGAGTGAAACAAGTAAAACCACAAAAGCATACTGTATGATTACATTTATATGAAGTTCATTAACAGGCAAAAATAAGCTTTAGTATTAAGAGATGGTAAGTATTAATGTAAAACAAAATAAGGAAGTGATTATAGTAGTAAGAGATGGTAAATATTGATCCTAAAGGAAAGCTTACCTAAGATGTGAGCAGATGGAATTGCGATTAGAAGATGCAAAAGCAGGGCTTTTGGCAATGTTTTGTTTCTTGACCCATCTAGCTGCTCATTTTATACTCATTTGTTACATTGTATGTTTCTATTTTACGTACTCTCTACATGTGTGTTATACTTAACAATTTAAAATGTGGTTTAAAAAGAAAAAAGTAAAACCATTGTCTCCATTCTCATTTCCTATTCTACAGTCTTTAACATTGTTGGTCTATTCCATTTATATTACTCTATTAATAGGAATTGAGCTTAACTATTTTGAGTTTTCTGATCCACCATAAATTATTTTTATATGTTAATTTCAAAAATAATAATATGGTAAACAGTGGTAAGTTTAACTTTAAAATGGTTTTAGTGATGCTTTTTTTTCTTATTACAGTATTATTAAAATGTATTTCCTGATATTCTGATGAAACAAGATGATATTTTTGTCCATAAACATTTTCCTATGTAGGAATAGATTCCCAGCCTCCCTTCTACCTGGCCCACACTTTAAGATTGAATCAGTTTTTAGAAATATATTTGGTCCTGCTAAAGATTTTCTTTGGCTAGTAAGGTTAAGGAATAGAAGAGCTTTTCAAAAGTGAATTATCTCCAAATATAATTAATAAAAGATGCAGAACAGAAATGGAGTCACTTATATGGCCCTACTTTCTTCTGGTATCATTAGTCAATCAAATTGGTGTAACTACTAAAATAGTATATTAGTTCCTACTTTCATCAATCCGTCAAAGGAATTGTGAATTGCTATCACAATCTATGAGTTATTTAGGAATCTGATTCCTTCTCACCCTGAAAATTAACTCTGACACCTCAAGGGGTATCTTTATATCCTACCCAGACTGGTTATGAGCTGAGAGGGCAGTGGATGATGGTTCTTTACAGTCTGAACAGATCTCTAGTCATTGTAAAACCTGTGATTTGTCAGTACTGTATAAAAGAGACAATAAAGTAATGAGCTACACCTTAAGAAAACCTCTCATCAAATTATGTTTCTTTATTATAGGTAATTCGCTCCTTTCTGCTCTTTCCAACAATTGAGCGAATGTCTGAGTCACCCAAAGGCAGAATTGCCACTCCACTTCTGTGCTGGTTTCGATATGTTCTCTATGCTGCCAGCTACTTATTATTTAAACCGTGTCCTCAGAAAATCAAGTCCTTGCTGATCAGAATGGGCCTCCAAGTAATGAACGTGGAGAATGAATTTTCACTGATGAATGTCCTAGAACCATTCTGCCTTGGTAAGCACCTTTTAATACGTATATGTTTATTCTTATATCAGAAAGTGTTTACAGAATAATCTCAAGTGAATGAATATCAAGCAAGCAATTATTTGTTGGGTTTATTTCCTCCCAAAAGTTTAGAACTAGAAATAAATAAAACTGAAAATAGACTGAGGGGCATTCTGTGTGACAAATAGAAAAGGCTCATCAAGCTTTAATTTTACCTTATGTATCTGATTGTCCACTCTAGCTGTGGTATGGTGAGAAATAATTGTCCTGTGCATAGTACATAGTATACATAGAGTCCTTACAGGAATCCAGAATGTGCCCTGTTAGCTCAGTAAGAGTACTTTGCAAAAAAGAAAAGTACGAGAAAACAAGGCCCAGTATTCTTGTAGAGTTAAGAGGCTATATTTTTATTTTCCTTCTTTAAATGTTTTTGGGAAGTTGAAATTATAAGAGTAATGTTAATAAATAATCATCATGGTAATATATTTTAATACTGGGTGCTTTGCTGATTGCATTTTCTGAATGTGCCAGGGAATGTTTTTGCTACTTTATTTTTTGGCTTCTAAAATTGTTTTAAAATGTAATCTGTCATTTTAGATAATACTAATTTACACTGTATTTATAAATGACTTTCATAATAAAATAATCATAGTTTCTTAATCTATGAAATGGGAATAATAATACCCCATATTTCAATGGGTTATTCTTGGGTTACATGTGATAATATATGCAAAGTTTCTATCTAGCATTTTATTTATAACAGGCTTCCAATAAATGATTTAACAACAATAGTTGCAGCAGCAGCTAATGGCACTGTGGTACTCAGAACTAATGAGGTTTAGGTATTGTTACTGTCCCCATTTTACAAATGAAGAAACTGAGGTACAAAGAAGTTACATGATTTGCCCAAAGTCAAGTAGTGGGTAGTGTTCAAACCCAGGCAGTTTGCCACTATGATAAGCTTCCTTTTATCATAGCTGCTGCTGCTGTTGTCTTTTTTGCCCTCGTTAATGGTAAAGGCTCCTGAATAAAGTTTTCCATGCTCACCTGTATTAAGAATGTCATAAGATCACATGCATAATGAATCTAGAAACAAGTCACAGCCCTGTCTGTTCAGTTGTATAAGCTGCAGCTTATATGGGAGGTGTTTCGCCAAATATGTAGCAAGAAGCAGTCATCACAAATATAAGTTCAATGTAATTTTTGTATTTATGGATTTTTTTCCCTCCATGCTCTCCCCAACTCCCATTCTTTATTATAGTCTTAGCACAGTGGTAAAAAAAAAAAAAAAAAAA